GAGGTTGCTTGATTATTTGCGAATTAGTGATATAGGGGTTACTTGCTTAATGATACAGGGGTTTCTTAGTGATAAGGGTTACTCGATTATTTTAAAATGATTACTTAGTTATATAAGGGGTTTTGGTTAGTTATTATACATGGGATATTTCTAATTCATTTTAATTGAGAGATTTGTGAGTGATTCGTGAAATAAATAAGAAAGTGTGTGCTTTTGTGCAATTAAGAGCACTCCCGGCAGTGAGGAAAAAAGCCCTCACGAGTAAAAATAAAGGTGTAAAAAAAATACCCGAGCATTACGTTAGTGAGGGAAAAAACCCTCACCGTTGAGAGCTATGGAAAACGCACAAGAGTTGAGGGGAAATACTCGTGAACAGTAACCGGTGGGCCCCACATGTACACGCTGCTTTCCTTTTTTTTTCCTTTCTGGCTTGCAAAACGACGTCGTTTTGCCTTAAAGAAGGGCGAAACGACGCCGTTTTGAGGGGCAAAAAGGGAAAAAAAAATAAGGGGGCACTGGCCTGACGCGCGTCAGACCCAGCCAATGGGGATGCGACACGCGTCAGGCTTTGTCCTTCCAACCAATCAGATTTTTTTGCTTTTATTACAACGGTTATATTTTTGTAAGGTAAATATAACCGTTGTAATTATAAAAAAAAAAAAAAAAAAAAAAAAATTCACCAACGGATAGATTTTTTTTTTTCTATAAATAGACATGCATTTTGATATATTTTGATATACTTTCAAAAAACCCATAAATACTACAAATTTTCTTCTTTTCCCAATTTCTTTGAGTTATATTATTTTTAAACGTAATTGAAAAGTAAATATAAAACTTATAAATTGTTATTAAATTATACATTTTTATTAAATTATTTTTAAACGTAATTAAAAAATAAATTATTTTCACATATTTTAATTGTATTGGAAAATTAAATATGTAGTATAAATATTATTTCAAAATAAAGATAAAATAAAAAGATGATGTGTATTATGGTGGGGTATAGTAAATAGTGGAGGAAAAAGTGATGAGAGGTTTTTTTTTCTCCTCATTGATGTAGTGAAAAAAACATTTGATGAGAGAAATTGTATGGGAGGAGTGAGAAAGTGGGTAGAGAGAGATTGAGAGGTTTTTTTTTTCCTCACTGCTGATAGTGGTCTAATGTAGTGTGTCGAAGCATTTTTTATTAGCTTTTAGGGTATGGGTCAAAGTGTGTTTTAATAAAGTGGTGTGTCAGTGTGTTTTTTAAGAGTAGTATGTTAGTGTGCTTTTTGAGAGTTTTAGGTTTTTGTTTTTTTTTTTTTTTTTTTTTTTTTTTTTTTTTTTTTTTTTTAAGAAAGTAGTGTGTGTTAGTCCTTTTTAAGAGTAGTATGTCAATGCGCTTTTATAGGAATTGACGAGTTAGCGCGCTTTTTTAATAAGTGTGTGAACTTCGTTAATTTTTTTCATTGTCCGTTATTTCAGTTTGTTTTTATTGGAAAGAAAAGCGCATGAAAGCAAATCCCGTTATGCCCATCAAATCTCGTTATTTTTGCTGAGTTGGCAGCTGGCCACACGGTGTGGCCTGCTGCACTAAAAAGGCTCTGTGAAATAACAAATTTTATCACATAAATACAAAAAGTATTTATTTTAAAAATACAAACAAACCGTGCATCGCACGGTCTGCATCTAGTATCATATCACTAAAAAATTAAGCCGGTCTCGCAGCCAGACCACGAGACAGTGACACTTGGCATTCCAGTTTTTTGCCAAGTGTCGCGCCACGTAGGAGATAAATAGGTATTATTGTGACACATATGATGCTAAGTAAGCAATTCTTGGATAGATTTTTTAAGATAAAATTTTTTTGACACAATTAATCATAAAAAATTTTTAAGATAAAATTGTTGTATAGAGTTTTATTATCACTATACTTCTAATATTTCATATATACAAATTAATCATAACTTTTAATAAATATCGTATAACTCGGTTTTATTTCCATCATAAAATTCGTTTCAAAAAGTTCTTTAAAATAAGATCCATTTATTATATATGTAATTTAGTTAAAAATATAATAGAGAATCAATAAAAATAAGTTTGAATTGGTAAAAATAATTTTGATTTGGTAAAAAGACTTTCAGTTCAGTAAGAATAATTTAAGTTCAATAACAATAATTTCAAGTCCATAATAACATAGATATCTATTTACAAACAAAACTAAAAAAGTACACTATTATATGATATCGTAGGTCTAAATATCTTGCATTATCAAAGGGATTGTATGTCTATATTTAACATCCAAGCCAAAATTTTATTCTAAAATTTTATAAACAATCTGGGCATTGTCTAGGCACAAAACTAGAGTTGTATTATGGATATAGTTCTAAAGTTCTAATATTTCATATATACAAAATTAATCATAACTTTTACTTCCTCCGTTTCATATTTTTTCCAACTTTGGGATATTATTTGTGAAATATAAAATATTCCAAAGTTGCAAAAAATATGAAACAGATGTAGTAATAAATATCATATAACTCGATTCTATTTCCATCATAAAATTCGTTTTAAAAAGTTCTTTAAAATAAAATCCATTTATAATATATTTAATTTATTTAAAAAAATAGAGGATTAGTAAAAAAAACAATTTAAGTTCGATAAAAATAATTTCAAGTCAATAACAACATAGATATCAATTCACAAACAAAACTACAAAAAGTACTCTATTATTTAATTAAATAAGCAATACGGCATTATCCTACATCAACAAAAAAGGGATTGTAGGACCGTATTTAACAATCAAGAAAATTAGTTTATACTTAAATTTTATCAACAATTTGGGCATCGCCCGGGCACAAACCATTCACAGGCATAGAACATCACATATCACTAATAAATAAAGTCGGTCTCGCAGCCAGGCCACGAGAAAACGACACTTGGTATTCCAGTTTTTCTCCAATGTCACGCCACATAGGCGACAAATAGGTTTTATTGTTACACATATGATACTAAGTAAGCAAAGTTTGGATAGATTTTTATAGATAAAAATGTTGTATAGAGTTTTATTATCGATATACTTCTAAATAATATTTCATATATATTAATCATAACTTTTAATAAATATCTTATAACGCGGTATTATTTCTATCATAAAATTTGTTTTAAAAAGTTCTTTACAATAAGATTCATTTATAATATATTTAATTTATTTACAAAAATAATAGAGAATAAGTGAAAATAAATTTTAATTAGAAAAAATAATTTTAGTTTCGGTAAAAATACTTTCAATTTAGTAAAAATAATTTCAGTTCAATAAAATATAATTTCAGTTCTGTTTGTCTAAATATCCTGCATTATCAAAAAGGACTATATAACGGCATTTAACATTCAATCCAAAAAATTTATCCTAAACTTTTATCAACCATTTGGGCATTTCCAGGGCACAAAGCTAGTATATATAACGGGGAGTTTTTTCCCGAGTTCTTAGAGAGCCACATAGGATTAAAATTTCTTAATGCGCCATGTAGGATTATAAATTTTAGTTATAACCAATTAAATAAGAGATTTATAATTTCTCTTAAAATTAATAATACAAATGCCACACAAGCAAAATTGGTGAATGAGATTTTAATGTTTAAATTAATTAAATATAAAATATTATCTTTTAATATTAGGAATTTTATCTAAATATATAATGAATAAAATTATTAAATGATATACTACGTATAACGTATAAAATAACTAATTTTATCACATACATACAAAAAAAATATATGTTTTAAGAAAATACAAACAACCGTATATCGCACGGAGTTCATCTAGTTTTTTATATGACTTTAGTAGTAATATTTATCTGCTATGTTACTCCATAATTTTTGAAATAAACTCACTAATTAAATTTCATACCCTTATTGTTAAGGGGTATGTAAATTTTGTTATTAGGTGATTTAGGTCACAAAGGACACTAAAATCGACAACATTCTCTCTCATTTCTCACGTATATTTAATTAATTATTAGTACAAAATTGTAAAAAGTTAACAACTTGAAAATATACATTGAGACTAAAGTTGGTTTAATAACCTTTACAAATATTAAAAATATTTATTGTTGTAATACAATAGTAAAAAAAAAATGTTCATTATATGGTGTACAATTAATCTAAAAGTGAAAATATTAAATATACATAAAATGGGAAGAAGTGTTAGTTGGAGTTTTAAGTTGTGTTTTGCCTAATCACAACTTAAGATATGGTTTAGACCTTAAGAGAGTATAAATATAAATAAAATAAAAGTCAAAATATTGTGATTATAATACAACGGTGAAGTAGTAGCTGGAAAAAAGTGTCAAATAAGTTTTGACGTCGGGAGTAGCTAGCATAATTGGGCGGATTTTGCCAACTACTTGTATTTATGTTAGCGTGAAAGATATGGTTGTTTCCAAAATTGATATAGCAAAACTGATTGGACTCTACCAACCACTTTTATATCACTAACAAGCAGTTTCCTGGAATTGTTAGAAGTTTTCTGTGCTTGTATATTTTTAATTTTTTGTTTTCTTTTTAACCATTTGATGACAACTTGTACAATTTTCAATTAATCGAAAACATACTGATATAACTTGCACACGTGAAATCCTCAAATAATTGAAATAACTATTGAATACGGAAGCTTTTACAATGACTACAATTTTGTCGGTGTCTTTGATAACCAATGAGGTTGGGTAATGCTAATAATGGTAAGTGCCTATCTGTCACGGTAGCGATTATAAAGGGGGAGAGGTAAGGTTTTGGAGTCCTGGTTTATAGGAGAATATGAAAATAATCAAATTCATGTCACACATCTTTTTCAATTGAGGAAATCAGCTCATTTTAGTTTTAGTACTCCTTCTCTTGTCACATTCAATAATCAACCACATGTGATTGGGTGTGATTAAGTTAGACTACGTACCATAATTCTCCTTTGAAAATTGAATTTTTATTTGCTCAAACTATTGTTGTCTTAATTTTGAGAAACGAAAGTACTAAATTAGAAATATGACATATAGTAAAGTGACGGAAATGTTACACTAACACGAGTATGAGACATATAGGTCATACTGGTAATCCGTTTCGTCAAATAATGACATAAAATAACACTACGTAAGTTGCGAAAATAATGTCTGTAGTACGTTCAATTACTAGTGCTTAGCTTGCCAATTCAGAGAATATTATGTACTTCTGCTCAGATAGTCAGATGGTACGTTCAAAGGGATTAAAAATGAATAATATTGATAACAGTTGGACTGTTGGAGCTCTACTTCTGAAACGCTATATTTTTGTACTGTCAGGCAACCTGAATAGGCTTCAGTGGCAGTTTGCCTCCATATATATCAGGAAGTTGACTCTCGTCGATATCTTCTAGCATAGTTGGTGTTAGCTGCCGTTTCTCCACAAATACTATCTGTCAATAACCGCGAAAATGGATTATGGTTTCAGTCATGAAATCTGGCCTTGTAAATCAGTCTAAATTCATCTGTTGATGAACTTTTAAACTTTTGATTTGGAATACTTACTTTGGTCTTGGTGTTATCGTCGATGAATGGGTAAATAATCTTCCATACTGCCATAAAGATTCTTGGTGCATGGACTATGAACAGCTTACCTAATCTTTCTGGGTAGCAATCCTGAAAACAAACTCTCCATATGAACAAGAAACTCAACAGAAATAATTTCTATTTAAATTTGTTACTGAATTGTATGAAAATTAGGTAACGCAATTCGTATGAAATGGTTGAAATGGGTAAATACAAGTTTCTCTTATTGATTAACAAGATTGTATCTCAAGAGGGTAAACTTGTAATTTCGACAAATAAGTTAGGGTTAATATTGTAACTTTGTAGAAGAATGGAAGAACTTCAATGGAGATATTCACAGCTTCAATGGAGGAGGATGCAGATTCAATGGAGTAATCGAAGCTTGGGAAATAGTTTCAATGGAGGATGAAGATAACCTTTTCCGTTTGGAGTTAACCATGCCCTAATTTCTCTATTTTTTTCTTAGGGTTTTCGTTTAATTCGGCGGCGAAGCCGTTGGAAATTTAGTGGTGGAGATGGTGGTTGGATGGAGGAGGAAAGCATGAGTAGATGGAGGAGGAAACTAGTAACAATGATGATGTGCGAATTTCGATGACGGAGGTAAACAGGGAAGATGAAGGAGAAGAACAGGGAAATAAAAGTACAGAAAAAAAAAATACAGCAGAAAAATATAAAATATGAAAATTATTGATATTATTTACCATTGTGCCATCTTGGAGAAACAATTTTGTTTCTCAAGAAGAGAAACTCGGGCAGCCCCGAATTAAATTAGGCCATACGGCTATATTGTGATCATATATTACCACCTACGAAAGGGGCCGTCAAAATACTAATCCCATTTGTCTAAAGCAGAACAAAAACTGGTTTTACCTGTAAGATAGAGAGAGCCCCAAGATATCCACGGATGTCGCTGTTCGAGTAACCCCATCCTTGAAGATCTCCAATAGCACAAAATTTCTCCTGTCCAAGGGGCATCCTGTTTGAATAATTAGATCAAATGATACATTTAGTTAGGCTTTCAACATCAATGTTTGACACTCATTAACCACAAAATATACCAATAAACCTTATATTTCAGGTTATCTAATATAAATTCAAACATTATTCACTAGCTAGTAGAATTACTCAACCAAAAAAAAAAAACCACAAAGTCAACAAATTTGCTGTAGTAACCTTGTGCATATCTTGTCAAGAAAATATGCAGCAAATCCTGTAAAACCACCAGAAAACCATGTCATCAGAACACCGAATTTCCTGCAGCTGGTGCGCGCAGCTGTAGAATATGGGAGCCTATATATCTAGCGTGAAGAAAAGGATGAGATAGCATACTTTTGAATTCATCAGAGCCTCCAGGTGTGGTGTTTTGGAAGTGTCGACGAGCCAATACAACTAATATAGGACGTCCTTTCTTATCATTACCTCCTACAAAAGCTTTGTTTTGGGAAAGTTCATTTTGTATTTCTGCCTCTGAGACATATCCATCAGGTATGAATGTTTTCCTCCATTTCAGATACTTCAAGAACATCGCCCCTGCCTTCTCCACATCTAGATCGCGTGCTCTTAAGAATCTTCTAAGTGTCATGTCATCTACCTCCTGCTGTGCATTATAGAAACTTTTTTAGCTTAAGTTTTAAAGAGAAATATACGTAGTATTTAATTTTGTAACGCTGTTTATGTTATTGGATCAAGTAAAAATATATAAAGAAAATATTCATGCATAACTTTGTGTATTAGACATTCTCAAACTATTCATTTTTAGCGCCTTCTTACTTGCTCAATCAAAGTAACGCTTATTAGTAATTAGCAGAAGAAATGGAGGACACCGAAAATTTTGTTACGTTGATCAAAAGAAGGTAAAACACTTGAAGACATTACATAATTTTAGTCCAATGCTTTTGACATTTTCGTACTGTTTAAATATTGTGTTTGTACTTTTTCCATTTATATGCAGAACATATAAAACTAAAAATATATATTTGTAACAAACAGTTAAGAATTGAAAGGGAGGAAACCTTAGTAGAGGGATCACGACATTCGAGTAAGGCTCTCATCTGTGACAATTTATCTTGTTCTGCAGTATTTTCCTTGCCTTGAATGCTTTCCTTGATATCACTCCCTTCACCGGTTACTTCCATTCGCGACTCTTTCCTTTATTTTTTCTTGGTTTTTTTGTTTGGAAGTTTATTCGTGTTGTCTATGTAATAATCTTTCTCTCTAACTCAAGTAGACGAGAAGCTTATGCAACAACAATTACGTGACAAGAGGGGGAAGCGTGATTAACCAAATAATTATGTATCAACCGAAATTAAATGAGCGGAATTATTTCTAGAATGTAGTACATATGCAGTATATGGTCCTGAAAAAATACGCACACAATTATTATAATGTTAGAGTGTTAGTATGTTATAATTCGGCATTCAAATAACCAACTACTAGAATTTATGAGTAATTTGCGTAATTGAGTATGTAGGCCAGTTGGAATGGGTTGATGAATGGGACAACAACGTGAGCTGCATGTTGGCTAAAAAATATTTTGTTGTTTTTGAATTGAATGCGTTTAAAGAGAGTAACTAGAAAGTGGAAAGACAATCATCTAACTACATTTATTTTGGAATGCATAATTCATGTATGATTTTGTATCGGTGATGTTGACTAGTTGTACTCATTCTAGAAGATGGGAGATTTGTCACTAGTTTTGTGTTACGATTAAATTAAACGGGTTGTATGTAAAACATCATTTCGTTATTATCTTGTAAAGCTTTGAGATCAGATTAGATTTGAAAACGCCGAAATCTATCTAGTGCTTACTGAGGGGATCATCATTTTGTGGTGCACAACATTGTAATGTACACTTCATAATCTTGTTAGAGAAGAGATGGAAACCAATTTATTGGAAGCTCACCGACTAATAACCTTTTTTTTTTTTAATAGGTTATGTATGAATACTCTATAGCAAGACTTCATTCACCACTTGTTTTTTTAAAAAAACATATTATGTATAGTAGGACTTCACCTTGGTGGCCTTACATTACAATCCATTTCAATATTCATTTCAAGCAATAATATATCCTACATTTAAGGATATACTAATAGTTATCATTGTATATGTTAAATTGTTCTTCCAATTATTATGTTTTAGGTTCTTCTAATCTCTTTGTATTAATTCACTCGTTACTAATTTTGATTCCATTACTATGCATATATGCTTGATTTTGAAAAGCATAGAAGCACTGAAGCACCGCTAAAGCATGACATGTCTGGAAACATATCAAGCGTGCGGGTAAAAATCTAGCTCATAACGTTACTCGTTGGGATGCTAGAGGTTTGATTCCATTACGTTAATCAATGGCTTCTCTGGCGTGGGCCTCTTGGCATTGCAGGAATATGTCTGTTTTTGAGCAGACATCATTCAATGCGGTGGAGGTTGCGAAGGGGTGGGTTAAGTTGGTTCAGGAAAGCAATGTGTATGCTGCTAAGGTTTTTAACAGGGCTGTCCCTCTGGCTAGCAGGTCTGGAAACTCGTGGCATTGTCCGGATGCAGGGGTGGTGAAGATTAACTGTGACGCTCACCTTGGTGCTGAATCTGGCTTGGGTGTGGTGTTCAGAATTGAGCAGGGGTCCCTGCTAGCTGCTGCTGTTCGCAAAGAAGGGGGAGGCTGGGATGTTGAGGTTGCTGAAGTTGCTGCGTGTCGCTTTGGTTTGCTACTGGCGAGAAGATTGGGCTATTCACAGGTGCAGCTCGAGTGTGATGCTGAGAGGGTGGTTCGGGCAATCAATTCTAAGGCTGTAGGATTTTCTCCAATTTATTTGCTTTATGAAGATATCAATTAGTCTATTTAGTGTGTCCCATATCAAGCGTGCGGGTAATAATAATCTAGCTCATAACGTTGCTCGTTGGGATGCTAGAGGTTGTAATGAATTTGTATCTTTTGGTCCGTTTTCCCCCAAAGTTTAACGACTCTGACGGAAATTGATTTGCTTTAATGAAATTCACAGCTTGATTTCAAAAAAAAAAAAAAAATTTACATTTTATAAGAAAAAGATTGATTAACTTATATATGTTTTGATCCAACTTATGCTCATACGAATATAAAAGTTTCATTTAATTTTCTATGTGTAAGGGAAATATTTCTACATTGAAGGATGTATCCGCTGCAATAATGTAATTTCCATAAAAAAAAAGCTACAATAACATTTTTATTTCTTGTGCTATGATCGAATGGGGTTATTATAAATAGGATAAAATATGTAAATTTAACAAGTTTTATTTATTATAATAAGAAAAATTATAAAGACTATTGATTAAAGTTTTATGTAGGGATGATCTATATTTTCAAATATTCCCTCTGTCCCTTATTTTTCGCCCCATTTAAGTTTTTACGTTGTTCAAGACGCGTCTTCAAATGTTTATATATATTTCCATTTCTATATACATAAAAATTATTAAAATTTGATATTAATAAACTAGACAATGAGATAACAAGATCTCACATGAATATATTATTACTTATAGATTAACAAGAATTCTTGGTCAAAGTTTTAAAAGTTTGACCCATATTTTTTCAATGGGGCCAAAAAAAGGGACGAAGGAAGTATGTTGTATTTCTTTTAGTCAAAGGTCAAAATTAAAAGATTAAAAAATGCAAAAATTAGCCTCAACACTCTGAACTATGCTTTAAGTACACCCAGCACCCTTTACTTTGCATAATAGTTAAAACACCCCAAACTAATGACTTGGGTGCATAGCATACCTTTAGTGAGTTTTCCAACCACCATTCTCGCCAGAGCTGGTGAATTAGGTTTTGTAACTTTGACCCTTAAGGATCCAAATTAAGCTCCGAATAAGAAAAAAAATAGCGTAAATGACTGGTTTTGCGTGTTAGAAAATATCGATTAGTGTGTCATTGTTTTTTAAGCCGAGTTAAGTCATTTACATTATTTTTTTTGCTTATTTCGAGCTCAATTTGGACTCTTAAGGACTAAAATAACCCCAAAACCTTAACGGGACATTTTTTGGCATGCAAATCGAAAGATAAAAATTTAATTCACCGGCTCCGACGAGAATGGTGGCCGGAAAGCTTACTAAAGGCACGCTTTGCACCCAAGTCATTAGTTTGTGGTGTTTTAGCTACTACGCAAAGTATAGGGTGATGAGTGCACTCGAGCCATATTTCAGAGCGTTGAGGTCAATTTTGCCAAAAAAATAAATCAGTTTACAAACTCTTATAATTTAATGCAAGTTGTTGCCTTGGTAAAGTGAGCGTAGATCACCCATGCATTTGAATTGCCAAGGTTGCAACAAGCATTGTAAACTAGTACGAAGTATAAGTGAAGATAACAACACCCACTAACAATAACTTGCACCAGACACATGCATCAATATGGGCACAAGGCCTAAGGATCGGGAGCTGCCTCATATGGGACATGCAATGCTATGCCAGAGCGTTGGAGCTATTGTTAGCACATGACAAACTCCCCCACATAAGCCAAAAAAGCCCTTATTGTGGCGCTGGGATGCTCGGTCCACATTGCTTCCCAGCACAACAACATACCACCAGAAAGTGATGACATGTTTTTAACACGCTTGCCTAACGATGAAGTTATATGCCGGCACAACGCATCCCCTACTTAAGCACGAAAAGACAAATCCTCTTTGACACCATTTCTTGTTGATGCTTCACCATTTTCTACACTTCGTCCTTCCCTAGGCACTCAAAAATATTCCCTTGAGTTAGGTCCCTCTATGTAGCTATCACGAACATACCCTCAATCTCGTCGAGAGGCGTTCATTCACCGAGCTCGCTTGCCTATTCTCATTGTTACCTCACCACTACTTCAACCAATATAGTTCTCCACCAATCACTCCCGATGCCCCCTACACGACGAGTTTCAGATGCCCTTTATATTCGTGCCAGACATGGTGAACTAAACCTTGTCCCCCTGAACGATGTTAATAAGTCAACTCGCTCTAATACCACTTGGTACTGGACAAGCACAGATCGCCCATGCAATGCCTGAATCCCGTGGCTTGTTCCAGACCAGCCTTCTCCAACGTGCAACAATCATTATAAATAGCTATAAGTGAGGATAACAACACCCAATGATACAAATCTGCACCCAAAACATATAACAGTAGTATAGGCACACATGCAAAGGAAGTTGCCTTATAAGACTTATTCTGCCAGAGGATTAGGAAAACTGTTAGCACGTGACAATGAGCTAACATTTAAAGAAGGGGAGATTAGTAAACTAAAGATCTAATGTTCCAAATCCAATTTAAAATGGATAGTATATATGTACAATATTTCATATTTTACTGATCATTTAGCTAAACCAAAATCACAAATCCATCTATTTAAAAGATCATATAAAAAGTTTCACAATATAAATATCCAAAAATTACTTTTAGCTAGGTGCTTAATTTACTTATCCCTCAAACAACATATAAAACACAAGTGTTAACTAATCAACCAATCGTAATCTTTATATAAATTTAATTTATAATATAAATATAAAAATACCTTAAAGACCACATTATATGTATATTTTTTAATTAGACATAAGGTCGTAATGCTAAAGTTGATCATGTTGACCCAATTTTGGGCGAGGTTTGGGCAAAAAAATTTAGCTGAAGTCGGGTTGGGCCTATCATGGACGATTTTTTTTAATTTTCATGCGGGCCTTGAGTATGCATTTTTAAGTTTTTTTTTTTTTTTTTTTGTTTTTATGACCTGATTTGAAAAGCCCGTTAGACCTGATCTAATTTCATGAGTTTAGCATTTTTGGCTCGAACCTTGGCTCGACCCAACCCGGCTTGATCAATCGAGCCGAATTCTACCCTCGGCCTGGCTCGGACTGCTCTTTGGTCACCTCTTAGTCATGCAAATGAAATTTCACACATACATCGCGTAGACGCGTACCGCGTACATATACGCTAATTTACCATGGGCGAGGTGGTCGGCGAAAGAAAAGGAATGTAAATAATGAGACTGTAAAACTAAGAGCCGAGAAACAGGTTGTAAGAAAGATTTTGGTACATGAAGTTGACTCTTTATCGACCAATCTACACTATTCAAATTTACTGAAAACAATATTCTTGCAAAAAGGCAACTATTATAAGCTATTTCAATTTACTGCACCCATCTCAGCTTCATCAGACAACGATACTATCGTCTTCCCTTGCAATCCCAGCAAACAATTCCAAAGGGAAAGCTTTGGTGTATGAAGTAGACTTCCTATCCAACAATTTCAGCTTCAAATACCCAATTTTTCTCTTCGAAATTACAATAATTTGATGAGATTTAGTTGATTTTCCAGTTTGTTTCGTAACCCAGAAGTTTGATTTTGTTAAGAAGAGTAAAAATGGAGATTTGGAAGTTGGGTTTGTTTCTGATTGCTGTAATTTCGTTTTCTGGGGTGAGAATTGATGCAAAGAGGATGTCTCAGCCTCATCCGACAGAGCGCATTTCAGGTTAGATTTCCTTTGATTTTAGTATTTGGGTGTGTAATTGTTTGTTTGAAATAATGGAATGTGTGTTGATTACTAGATTTGAAGTATAATCTATGTGTTTCTAGGGTCTTTGTGAAGTTGGGTTTTCTTGTTTTTGGTGAATTTCTGATTTTGGTTGATTATTTTGCTTACTTTTGGGATTTTTTTCAGTACCCTGGTTTTTGTTGGATTAGTATGACTAGATGTTGAAAATGTTCTTATTTCCCCGCATTTTTGAGGCGGATTTAGGGGAATTGTTGCTTGTGGAGTTGGGTGAGCAAATGAAAGTTTCAATAAGTTATTTCGTATTAGATTGATTTTGTTCTTGATTTTGAATGTGATTTTGATGTTTTAGTGTTTGGAGTTTTGCTTAATTGATGACATTCTTCTGATGTTCTTACATAAACGTTTGATATGATTTCGATAACAAATGGTGTTATATTTTACCAATATGTTTAATTTAGTCTCTTGTGAACTCCTAGAACTCTAGAAGTAATCATACTACGTACTAGTATCTATTTTGAATCCTTAATCCTCGTGTTAGAAAGATCATGGACGTGGTAGTGACACAGCTGATTGGACTGAAATAGCCATTTTAAGTGGGTATGCCCATAGCAAAAAATAATCCTTGTCTTACAAAATGGAAAATCTGGAATTCTGGATTCTGCATTAAATATGGTGGTGCCAAACTCAAAAACTAAAACCCCCTATTTACATTTTATTGGAAGATACGGTCATACGGAGTGACTTTTTCTTTGCAGTCCAGATGCATAGCAAACAAGCACATCTAAACATGATATTTGGTTTATAGAGGACAAATTTGGTGAATTTGGAATACTGTCATGGGTTTTTTAGTTACTATTTATTTTGGATAGCAGTTGCTTTTGGGTTTACATTTGGATTAATTGTGTGAAAGATGAACTTGCTCGTTGAGTAGGGATCTGAATAATTGCAAAGGCAACTAAAATGAAGAGCTCCTACCATTTACTTAATCGATTGTTTGAACCATTGCTATCAATGAAGACCCTTCTAAACTTGTATATTTTGCATTATTGAATTGATATAAGTTGTTTGCCTATTGTTTGATGACTTAAATGATGAGGATCTAAAGTCATCCTAAGTTAAGTGGGGTTCTCTGCTGATATTACAGATGCCGGTTTTCTGTGCCCATGCTTTGTTTCTGTTGTCAAATGTGGAAAGTTTGGAGGACATAAGTATTACCATGTGGTCAGATTCTAGGGGGATAATGGTTTCTGTAGAGAAAAGGGAAGGATGGCTAAAGAAGTGTTAGTCATTATGAAGTACTTATCACTGTGACGGTGTTACAGTTGTTAGAACTGATGCAGAAGAGAAAAGAGGGGAAGAGAGGCAGGAGGCATAACAGGCAGAGACCGAAATAAGGAAAGAATAGCATAGAGATAAGATCTAAACAATTGTGTTGCGACAAATGCGGTCTTTAATTCTTAGGTGTATTTTTTTTTTGGGTTGCTGTACTATTTGGTTGTCACTTGTCAGTTGTTAGATATTGAAAACATTGAAACTATGATAGATTCGTTGTTTTGACATGTTCCATTTCATCAATAATCTCTTAGTCTTAGTCTCTGAGGCGAAGCTGTCACAAGCAGTATGTTTTGGTGAAATCTTTTGGTTATTCTCCAAGCTAACAAGCAAATTACATTGTTTTGTCTTTATCACTCTATAAAGTTAGTGTGCTACTTGTGG